AAATAATATTAACCAATCAAAATTTAGTATTTTATCTTGGCCACTTTAAAAAAAGTTGCTGGTTTAAGGTGTTCTGCACTGTATAAATTGGTTTTAAAACTGATATGATTATAAGTAGATGTAATTATAGAGAGATTTGACTGTAGTAAAATACAGTATATACAATTTTATTCTTAAAATAGTAAAATCTGACTAGGCCGGGTTATGAGAACCAAAAAATTAACTGTTTGACCTTATATAATATCAACGTTAAATTTATGTTTACCATTAAATAATTATCATAATAATCGTATAGTATCTGTTAGGTTTAATGTATCAATTTATTCAAATACTTTGATCCTTCGAATGAAATCATCTAAGAGTAAACTTTCAGCTCCCAATAATTATCATTTTCGAAATATTTAATATGATAACTTTGGTAAATTGCCGTTTGAGAAAATCATCTGTATACATAGAGAATCTAAATTTATTATACTTACATCCCAATCATCAATATAAACGTTGAGGTTTACCCATTGATGATTTAATGTACAAACTTTTAATATTTTGCCAATGCTTCTTGAGTAAAGAGACTAAAAAATTAATGCTCATCATAATGTTAGCAAGCAATTCGTCTTCGCTCATCTGAACATGGCCAACTGCTACGCCAAGACAAAGAACTTTTTTAAGTTGGAATTTGATCGTCGAACGTAATTCCTCAGCCTTGGCATTCAAATCATCGTTATGATTAACCGGAGTCGGAAATTTACCGGCTGGTACAGACATGAATAAATTAAATATTAAAAACGAGATGATAATAAATTTATTCTTCTCATCAAAGAACGTTATAACATTATAAATACCCTTATGCAATCCAGGGCCTAATAATCTTGGAATTTGTTTAATCAAAGCTTCACTTGCTAAAAATGCATCATATTTTTTAGCGAGTTTTTTGATCAGTTTCTTGTTTTTATTAAGCTTCTTAAGATCGTCAACACTTAAAAATTCTAGTTGAATCTCTTTGGCACGATCACAATCATGAGCATCACCAAGAATAGCCACAGACATTTTGGGACGCGGGACATTGGGAAGTCTAGAATTCAAAATATAGACTGTTAGAAATGTGTTCATCTGAAAGATATCAAATTGAAAGCATTGAAGTAAATTTCGTATCGCAACTTAAATCTGTATGTGTAGTTTACTCACTTAATAGTTCCACTAAAACGTTTATCTCTTTGTGGATCATAATTTTTCAATCCAATTTGCAATTCGACGGTTTCAGTAAATTTTCGATTTTTTTCTTTAGATTCCGCTAAAAGAGTTCTGATTGACTCTCTCACGGCTGACACTTGAATTTTACTTTTTTAAAAAAAGATGATGTAAGCATTATATCGATTAAAATTACATGCAAGTTCGAAAATTTAGATACCTCATTATGAATACAAACGAAGACCACTTTTTTTAAAGCAGATGAGAAAGGGGGGAAGAGATTTTATCGGATCACATGCTCGTATATATTAAATTACAGAAGTTCGTTTTTATTGGCTGATCAAAATTTTCGATATTTAGATCAAGGTGACAAAATCAAATTCTGTGCATCATCTTTTTCTGCAGCATTTTCGTGATCAATTTTTAAACTTTGTAATAGCGATATATCGCTAGTCTAGCGGAATTTCAAACTGTTACAAATCATTAATTTTAATATATCGCTATCTGCTATGGTGATAAATTATAAAATCCTAAAATATATAACATTCTGCAATTAATTTTTTTTTTTGTAATATCTGATATGATAAGTAAAACTATAAAAATTTACCCTGATTGAAGTGAAAACCAGGAACGCGAATTTTATTTTATTTTTTGGATTAAAAATTATGTAAATTTTTGGATTTGGCCGGAATTAAGAAATCGAATTTCATAATTCAGGCCACATCACATGATTTTGAATTATTGCCCATTCGAAATTTTGAATCGTGTGAAGTCAGCCAATCATATTAATAGAAATCAACAGACAGCGTAACCAATCAATCGGAGTATTACCATAATTTTCGCGAGCCTGATAAAGTTGAGCCACACGGTCCACAAAAAAAATTTATTTTTAAAAAATTTATATATTATTGCTATTTTTTTAAATTTCCGGGGTATGGGAAGATAATTTTGGCGACGACACGGATGTAATTAAGAAAATTAACAAATAACGAATTATTACGATTTGATATAAATGTAACATCATTTGTTTAATTTAAACGCCAATCTAACGCTAAATGAAATTTAAAATTTTGATAGTAACGTTGGCTAATCACGTAAACCAGAGGATATTACAATATAAAATGTGAAAACCAAACGAAAGCACTATAAAAGCGTGAAACTATACGAAACATAAAAAAAAAATGCAAGATCCATAAGAAAGAAATAGTGATCAATAATTACAACATTTACACATAACATTTCAAATTTTTTTTTTTTTTAATAATATAAA